CATATATATATACATACATACATATATATATATGTATGTATGTATATATATATAAAATGGAAAAATACTTTAGCTTCAGACTAGAAAAAATAGGTTTTCCTTTCAAGGGAATTGTTATACAAAAAAGGAAACTTGTGGCAGGAAAATCATTATTAATATTGACTGTTTTCACATTTGCTTATATCTAAATATATATTCTAGATCAATGAAGAAAAAAATGTCTCAAATGGTATGGCAATGGATAGGAATGTATATCAAATCCAAAGGAAGTCCCAGGCTTTAGGACCCTTAATACTTAACATTTAATTAACAAAAACTGAACACCAACTGGGTATTACAAGACAGACTTGGTCATACTTTAGTAGGGAGTAAATACAGGGATATAAGCAATGGGATCTGGCATAGTTTTGCTGTTAGGGTATACAGAGAATGATATGGTAACACAAAGAAAAATGCTTAGTTGAACATCTAAGTGAAAGTGCTAAGTTGTGTTGGGAAGATGTATCAGTTGAGATGATATCTAATTTAGACCTGAAGCATGATTAGGAGTTAAGTGAAAGGAGGTCATAAGGGAAAAGAGAGAAAACATGACCAGTGAAAGTACAGAAGCAAAAAGAAATTGATACATTTGAGTGAGTGAACTTGAGGGCAGGTATGTGGGCTAAGGAGGATGTGGAGAAAAGTATGCAAAGGCCTTGGTAGGTCACATTACACAGTTTAGACTGGAAGTACAAAAATACTGAAGGGTTTTAAACAGATAATACTTGATAATGTTAATCATAATTTAATTTATGAAAAATTAACTTTCCCAAGATGTTGAAAAGTTAAACAGAATATGCAACCACACACACACTCTCTCTTTCTTACAGACACACTAATCAGCTGGATAATATAGTGGAAAATCCCATTTTCTTTCTTTTTCTTTTTTTGCCAGTCCTGGGACTTGAACTTAGGGCCTGGGCACTGTCCCAGAACTTCTTTAGCTCAAGACTAGCACTCTACTACCTGAGCCACAGAGCCACTTCTGGCTCTTTCTGTTTATGTGGTACTGAGGAATTGAACCCAGGGATCATGCATGCTAGGCAAATACTATACCACTACGCCACATTTCCGGCCTGAAAATCTCATTTTCAATCTAGCAAAAACTACGAAATATCCATGAGCTGGGCGCTGGTGGCTTACGCCTGTAATTGTAGCTACTCAGGAGGCTGAGATCTGAGGATCACAGTTGAAAGCCAGCCTGGGCAGGAAAGTCCATGAGACTCTTTTTTTTTTTTTGGAGTCTGGTAGTGGGGCCTGAACTCTGGGCCTGGGCGCTGTCCCTCAGCTCTTCAGCTCAAGGCTAGCACTCTACCACTTGAGCCACAGCGCCACTTCCGGCTTTTTTCTTTTTGCTTATGTGGTGCTAAGGAATCGAACCCAGGGCCTCAAGCATGCAAGGCAAGTGCTCTACCACTGAGCCACCTTCCCAGTCCCGTCCATGAGACTCTTATCTCCAATAAACTACCCAGAAAACTGGAAGTGGCGCAATGGCTCTAGTGTTAGAGCACTAACCTTGAGCTGAAGGACTGAGGGACAGCGTTCAGGCCAGAGTTCAAGCCCCATGACCAACAGAAAAAATAAAATAAAATAAATATCCATGAACTAAGAAATATTTAACTATATGTAAGAAGCCATAAAATTCTGATAAACGATATATAAAAATATAAGAATAAATAAATCTTTGATATGGAGACTTAATATTAAAATAATTTTCCCATGTTAATCTGTAAACAGATTATAAATTATTATAAATTCAAATTAAAAACACCTGTAACTCTGGCTACTCAGGAAGCTGAGATCTGGGAATCATGGTTCAAAGCTAGCATGGGTAGCAAAGTTCATGAGATTCTCACCTCCAATTAACCAGCAAAACTCTGGAAGTGGAGCTGTGGCTCAAGTGGAAAAGTACTAGCTTTGAACAAAAAAGCTCATGGACAATGCCTAGGACCTAAGGTCAAGACCTGGTGTGCATGTATACACACATCCACACCATTTTACAACAGATTGAAAAATTCATCTAGAAAATTAAATACAGAGTGAAAGGAGACTGATTGGAATATAGTGTAAAAGTGTGGAAATTTAACAATGAAACCTGTGTAACTAATGGAAGCAAGTAGAAATGCTATAAAGAATTAAATGCATAAAATTACAATTATGAAAAAGAACATGAGAGCAGCTTTTCAAATATGGAAGCAATTGAAAAAGTTTATAAAATCTAAATATTCAAGGGAATTGAAGGTTAATCTATCATTTAAATAGACAGGTTAAGTTCAAGTCTATTGCCTACAAATGTGACCATATTTTAAAAAGCCTTTGCAAATCTAATTAAGATGAGTTTATACTGTGTAGGATGTTGGGTCTATAATCCAATGACTGATTTCCTTATAAGAAATTTGGAAGCCGGGCGCTGGTGGCTCACACCTGTAATCCTAGCTACTCAGGAGGCTGAGATCTAAGGATCACGGTTCAAAGCCAGCCCAGGAAGTAAAGTCTGTGAGACTCTTATCTCCAATAAACCACTAGAAAACCGGATGGCGCTGTGGCTCACGCTGTGGCTCAAGTGGTAGAGCACTCATTCAGCTGAAGAGCTGAGGGATAGCGCCCAAGCCCAAAGTTCAAGCCCCATGACAGACCAAAAACAAAACAAAAACAAAAACAAAAACAAAAAAAAAAAAGAAAGAAAAAAGAAATTTGGAGACCCAGATAACAAGAATACCATGTAATGACTGAGGTTAAGATTGGAGCAATAGGATGAGGGGTGGGGGTGGGGAGGGGAGGATGGGAAGGGGAAACAAAGGAGAAGGCTACAATGCTTGATAAGAAATGTACTCATTATCTTGCCCATGTAATTGTAACCCCTCTGTACAGTATTTTCACACACACACAGAAAAAGATTGGAGCGATATCTCTATAAGCCAAGGAATACTAAGAATTGCTGGCAACCATGAGAGGCTGAAATAGGTAAGGAAGGACCTTCTGCTAGAGCTGTCAGAGAATATAGTACTGTTTAAACCTTATTTTTGGTTCTTTAGCTTTTAAAACAGTGAGAGAATAAGCTTCTATTTTTTTTAAGCCTCCTACTTTGTCGTAATTTCTTTTTTTTTATTTTTTCAATATATTTTTATTGTGAAAATACTGTACAGAGGGGTTACAATTACTTGGGTAAGATAATGAGCACATTTCTTATCAAGCATTGTAGCCTCCTGCTTTGTTTCCCCTTCCCGTCCCTTCCCATCCTCCCCCCCCCCCCAGCCCCCCTCCACCAAAGTTGTAAAGTTCGTTTTTTGACATAATGCTTTGTTATAATTTCTTAAGCTATCTTTGGGAACCTTATATAGGAATTAGGAAACAACTTAAAATAAAAGTTATCTCAATTGAATAGAGAAAGAATGAATTTTATGTGTTTAATAGAGGTTAGGACAATAGGTGACCAACTTGGAAAGAAGTTAGATTTCTACTAAAATGCCAAGTGTATCAAATATATAAATAAAAAAAAGAAAACAAACCACCACAATAAAACCCCCAAGGAATAGTAAGTAAACATCCAAGGTTTTCATAATAGAGGATCTTCTAAGCAAAACACTAACCTTCTCCCCCTCAAAGAATAAGAAAAAAGGAAAATAAGAAAGAATCCCAGAAGTCAAATGTGTTTAAATGATTTCTGTATAAATATATAACGCAAGACACAAAATCAATGTTTAGGGATAAAATTTTGGAAGATCTATAATAGACATGGAATTAATAACCAGAATATATTCAGAGATTGTACAACCAACAAGGAGACAAGCAACAACAGGACAAATAAAAAATGAAAATACTGATAATGTGTATCTAATCTTATTAATACTCAAATAGGATGCAAATTAAAAGGTTAAGTATTAATTATTTAGAATGTTACAAATAAAATATTTTTGGCAATATCCATGGAATGGTTGAACAGATACTCTCACGTGCTGAAATTTTTACAATCTTTTTGGTAGGTCTAGTTTTACAATCTTTGTGGTAATTCCCATTAAGATCTAAATGTTATTACTGTATAGCCCAACACATCTTCTAAGATTATATTATACTAGTTTACAAAATATTATATTCTACTAGTTTATAAAAATAAATAATGGAAAATGGCATTAAATTTTAGATATGCATCAATGAGTGTTTATTATATAATAGGTTTTAGATACTAGGGATTTAGGAGTGAATAAAAGAGATGAGGGAATGGTTAATATTCACTTTCTATGTTAAATATTTCTATAAAATTATATATATATATATACAGAGAGAGGAGGGGGGAAACAGAGTTGAAGAAGAAAGGAAGGTATATTTTCTCTATGTAGCCCAGGATGACCTCAAACTCACGGTATTTTTGCTTCAGCTTCCCAGTGTGTATTTTCAAAACAATCTTACCAGTTTTTTTGAATGGTTATTAGAATATATTTTGGTTACTTTTCTGGAAGAGTGGGATTTGAATTCAGGGCCTCATGTTTACTAGCTAGGTATTCTACCACTTGAGCCTGTTACGCTTTATTTTTGTTTTCCTTTTGGCTAGTGTTGGGACTTGAACCTAGTGTTCTGCAGTGCTAGGGAAGTAAGTACTCTACCACTTGAGCTATACTTCTAATTACTTTAATTATTTTCAGATAGGCTGGCAAGCTTTTCCCCAGAGCTGGCCTAGGACTGTGACAATCCTACCTGTATCTCCTGCATATCTTGAATTACAGATGTGCATCACCATGCCTGGCTAAAAGAGATGGGAATCTATTTTTTTGCCTAGGCTGGCCTTGAACTGTGATCTTTCTAATCTCCATCTCCTGAGTAGCTATGAATGACAGGCATGAACCATGACAATTTGTGACAAGTTTCTGATATTATAAAGTGACTGTTCTGCTCAGTTTAAAAATAAGAATAATTTTATGGTATCTGATTTGTCTCTATCCTTTGTGATCCTGTATTTTACTTACAGTTTGTGGATTAATCTCCTCCTCTCCCATAGGTTCATCCATAATTTGCTGTCCATTCTGTGAAAAGCATAGCAAGTAGAAAGTTACCAAAACACATTATACATCAAAAGAACATGAAGGCAGACAAAATGTCATTCAGGAATATTTTCACCCTTAAAGGGCTCTAAATGAAGCGGAAGAACCATCATCTAAGAATGCACTTGCAAATTTGCAACAGGTTGTGCTTCCAAAGGTCATATGTAATTATTTAAAACCACAAAACACTTTTTCATGGAAATAATAGATAATTACCTTTACAGGTGAGCTCTTGAGTTTATTTGAATAGTTAAATGCATTACAAATGGTCTTAGCTAAGTCTCAACAAACATTTACAACACTTGGTAGTGCAAAACAACTCCATTAATAATTAATCAGTTTATCTGATTAATTATTTCAGGGAAAGTAAAACTTAATCTCTACATCAAAATAAATTCCAGATGGATTAAACATTTAAATGTCTAAAATAAAACTGTAAGCATTAGAATATAGATGAATAATAATAATCATGAAAGAAGGTAGAAATCATAAAGAAAAATGACAATTGTATCCATAAAAGTTTAAAACGTCTTCTGCCAGACACACAAAGAAAGATAAAAAGACAAACTGATTACAAAAAATAAAGCAACATATGACAAAGAATTGGTATCCTTGATACATAAAGAGCTTGTTTTACAAACCTGTAAGAAAAAACGATGAACCTCAACAGAAATGAGCAATAAAGGAAAAAAGAGTTCAGCCTTAGTACCAATCAGAGAAATGCATTTAACCCAAAGATACCTCTTGCCTTTCAAATTGGCAATGATTTACAAAATAAATAAGAACAATCAGTGCTAACATGGGCATAGAAAAAGAGTACCCTGGATTTACTGCTAGAGAAAAGAATAAATCAGCACAACCTTTCAGGGAGACAATTTGATTGTGTATTAAAAAGTAAAACCACTACCATATATAAAATTTTGGAATGTCCCATGAATTCTACTTTCTTTTTTAAATGGGAAAGTGTACAAAGATGTATACACAAGAATGCTCACCATTTTTTTCCAAAAGAACTCCAAATTGGAAACCTAAATTCCTAACAATAGAGAACTAGTTAAATATATTATGGTACATCCATATAATGGAATACTATGTGGTTATTAAAAATGATGATAAAGATGTAAATTTATTGACATGGAAAGACAGTCACATGTAATAAGTGAAAAAAAGCAGTTTACAAAACAGTATGAATTGTATGATCCCATTTTAGGCAAATATATACATATCACAATGTATATATTTGTATGGGAAAAACTCTGGAAGGATATATACACCAAAATGTTAATAAGTGGCTAAGTGGTAGAAATTATACACAATTTTTTTGTTTGTGCTTACTTGAATTTTCTAATGTGCCTACAATATTGACAACCAAATTGTGTGACTTTGCATATGGTGGTGCAGCCCTGGAGAAGCTGAAGTAGAAGGACTGCACATTCAAGGCCAAACTGGGCTACACTGAGAGATTCTATCTCATACCCACCCCAGAAATCAGGAATGCATAGGGTCTTCTTTCATCTTCCCCACCACTGGAAAAAAGGAATAGCTCCCTACCTACTTGTTAATTCAACAAGTACACAAGGATCTAAGCTGATCATTTTTGGAGCACTATAAACTGGGAAGTAAAAGGCAGCCTCCTACCACTCCACACTGCATAAGGCAAATAAAACATGGTCTTCATCCTAGATCTACTGACCTACACAAAGGGTACCTTTCATTTTTACCCATTCGTAGAGGATGTTCCTAGGTTGGGGATGGTCTATTATACAATACCACAAAGTGTAAAAATAGTGACAAATGCAAGAAACGGCAGGTATAAAATCTTTATTTTCTTAAGACACTATCAGAGACTACAATATTGCCTGCTTTTGTGGTAAACATAGCTGAACTATCTCTGGGATACTTCCCCTAAACTCTACAATCAGTATTTAACTATTACTGATTGTTTTTAGTCTCACATCCCAAAGAAACCTTAGAATAGCTCTTAAGAATGCTGACTTTCACTGGGTAAGGATGGCTCATGCCTATAATCCTAGCTCAGGAGGCTGAGATCTGAGGATTGTGGTTCAAAGCCATCCTGGGGAGAAAAGTCTGTGTGACTTTTACCTCCAATTAACCACTTAAAAGCCAAAAGTGGAGCTGTGGCTCAAGCTCAGGATAGCACCTAGGTCCTTAGTTCAAGCCCCAGGAAAGCCCCCCTCTCCCAAAAAGGAATGCTGCGGACATTGGAGATTAACATGTAGGTTCAAAATCTTATTTGTTTTTTAATTTTTTATTGTTATATAAAGGTGATGTACGGAGGAGTTACAGTTACATAAGTCAGGTAAAAAGTACATCTCTTTTTGGACAATGTCACCCCAAAATCTTGTTCTTACCTCTACTAATTATGATGCCCAGGATAAGTTATTTAAATTAAGTTTTAGTTTCCTTCTATATAGAAAGTGAAAGTTTTAGAAGTCTTATCTTCAGGTTTATTGTTAAGACAAAATTATAGTAAACACTAAGTACTTAGGGTACTAAGCACTTAGTAAATATGAATTACTTTTTACTATGTCCAAAATTCAATCACTTCATCCATGGCCAACCAACCTGCTACCTTTCCTCTATTTTCTATCTTAGTGAACTGGACCATCATTCACTAAGTAGTTCAAAGTATAGCTTACTATAACAGAGATCTGCTTAATGACTGCCTATGATTTGGCTTTTAGAACTTGGTCTAACTTAAGCTATACTTACATTTGCCATGGAATAGAATTTGAGAACCATCTGCTCCTTGTAATGTTTAATACATGCAAGCAAAACAAACATCACAACTTCTAATTTACTTCTAAATCAAACTGGTACTGTAGCAGTCACACTGAATTTGGACTGATAGGGCCATAGCTACATCTAAGCTTTATGATCTTAATTAAGCAATTCAGAATTTCTCTTAATCTATCACCGTATGTGCTCAAAGTGGGCTATTTGCCCTGTCTACACAAAGGTTATTATTTAATGTAAAACTGAGATGTGTAAACTGTAAAAAGTTATACTAATAAAAATTACTATTAAGACAAAGTAGCTTCATGAAGATAAAATGGTCCTTTTGATCTTAGATTAAAAAAAATAGGATCAGTAAGGGATCTCAGAAGTCTTCTGTTCTAACTTACACATCATATATTTAATTCTTTCTACCCCTTTTTCATCTATACTCAGTATCAGGACAAAAACTGCAGGCTCATCAGGCAGCCTACTATATTGTGTCAGAAAAAACACTGCATTGCTAGATAAAAATTCTTCATTCCATAGTAACTTCCTTCAGCTACAAATTCTCTTTAAGAGAATTGTTAATAAATGAAGACTAACTTGCCTGGAGGCTATATGCAAAGTCATAGGAAGTAAATCTACATCTATGAATGTAAATCACTGGGTCCTGCCTTTCCAAGATAGCTCAAATTTCTTCATATATCATCCTCCCTTCTGAGAATACTGATTCATCCTAAAGAGCAGGATATGGAGCTGGGCATAGTTCCATCTGTCAGTCATCCTAAACTATATGGGGAACTAAGATTGTGAGGATCATGGTTCCAGGCTAGCCTGGGCAGACAAGTTCATGAGACTCCATCTAAAATAGTGGCATGTGTCTGCCATCTTAGTAACTAAGTGCCCTAGCAAGAAGTGAAACTCTCTCTGAAAAATATGGAGTGATGCCGGGTGCCAGTGGCTCATGCTTGTAATCCTAGCTACTTAGGAGGCTGAGATCTGAGGATCATGGTTTCAAAGCCAGCCCAAGCTAAGAAGTCCAAAAGACTTTTATTTCCAATTAACCACCAGAAAACCGGAAGTGGTGTTGTGGCTCAAGTGGTAGAGAGCTCACATTAAGCCGAAGAGCTGAGGGACAGGTCCCAGGCCCAGAGTTCAAGCCCCACAACTGACCCCCCCCAAAAATGTAATGAAAAATATGGCTGCAGTTAAAACTCTAGTACTGTAAAAAAAATTAGTGCTATAAAGAATTGCAAGCAATTAATAATCCAACGCTGGCATGACCAATGCAAAGTAAAGAGTATACTACTGCCCCTCCCGCCCCGTCCTTAACCAAGACATTGAGCTTATATTCTTTTCACATCTACATTATTTTTGGTGTGCCTACAACACATTGTTCACACCGAAGTATCCTACTGATTCAATCCTCATCTTATACTACAACTAAGCCCGGCACCCCATTGCTTTTCCTAGTCTTATAAACGAAGCCATATAATTTTTTTTTTTTACTGGTATGGGAGTATAAATTCAGGGCTTTGTGCTCATGTAGTTTTGTTTCCTCTGCAGGCTCTCTATCACTTCAGCCATATCTTTTGTCTAGTTTTTTTTTTTTTTTTGCTGGCTAATTGGAGATAAAAGTTTTGTGAACCTTTCTGTCCAGACTGGCTTTGAATCATGTTAACTAGGATTATAGGTGTGAACGACCAATGTCCAGGGAACCTTATACATTTTGAATCTTCAGATTTTTTTTTTGTCCTTCGTGGGGCTTGAATTCTGGGCCTGGGCGCTGTCCCTGTGCTCTTCAGATCAAGGCGAGCGCTCTTCCGCTTGAGCCACAGCGCCACTTCCGGTTTTCTAGTGGTTTATTGGAGATAAGAGTATCATGGACTTTCCTGCCCAGGCTGGCTTTGAACCGCGATCCTCAGATCTCAGCCTCCTGAGTAGCTAGGATTACAGGTGTGAGCCACCAGTGCCAGGCTTCACCCACAGATTTTTATAATGTATTTTATTCCCTGAACTGCTCAGCTAATTAACAGTATGTATAAACAAAACAATGTAAGGAAAAAATTTAAATGAGCAGGATCTCAAAGCTATTTTATTCTCTATTGCTTTGAAAAATATCTGTTGCCTTTCTAAGTTTAGCAAAGATTTAAAATTTCAAACTTAATTTTTCAAGTAGAAAAAATATGAAAACCTGTATTATTTTACATACCAGAGAAATTTACAAAGTTTTTTCCATCAAA